ATTATATTAGATGTTCAGCCTCACTAGTGATAGGAAGACTGAAACAAACAAAGCCCCAACCACAGTTGTCACACTGTCATCTCCCTGACGGTGATGGAAACATCCGATAATTTCTTGTGCACTGGTGGTGGGTAGGGTCAATTGGTAAAACTTGGCAGTAGCTGGCACAATAAAGAAATGCGCCTACCCTTCATCCTTTGGAAATTCTTTGAAGATATGCGCATATGAAATGTCCTGTGTACCTGGTGAGCTTTTAAAGATTGGAAACAAGCAAAATGTCCTAGGGGCCTGGCGACTTTACGGTGCAGCCATATCCCAGAGCACGCTGCATGGCTGTTAATGCAGCTTGATATGTGTTGACGTGGACTGACCTTCAAGACGAGGTGCCAGTCGAGAAAAGTAAGGTGCGGACGTGTTAGGAGCCCCAGTTGGTATGAAAAATAGCGTGTGCACTGGATATTTTTAACTTTTTATTTTGAAATAATTATATACTCACAGGATACTGCGAAAGTCATATATTGAATCCCATGAACCCTTCGTCTGCTTCCCCCAGTGGTGCCGTCTTACCTAACTGAAGTACCACAGCCAAGCCAGGAAACTGACATCTGTATAATACTGTTAACCAGACTACAGACCTTCCTCAGCTTTTCATTCACATGTGTGTGTGTTTCTGGGCAGTTTTATCCCACGTGTAATTCACGTAACCACCTCTGTAGTCCAGGCACAGCTTTGTCCCTAGAGTGTCTTTGTCAGGATGCCCAGCGGACCAGTGTCGATGATGGTCTGTTGATTGACTGCCCTCAGAGGGCATACGAGCAGCTGAATGATCGGGCTGGGAAGGCGACGCTCCTTTTCACTCTCATGGCATCTTAAAGCCCTGCTTTCTGAACAGCGGGTGGCATCTGGACATCCAGGTAGAACTACCAGGTAGAAGGTATCTGCGAGCTCTGCCAGGGGATAGACACGGGGCATTGTCGGGCCCTCGATGAGAATATTTCACATCTGGGCGGGGCAGGGGGTTCCTGACGGGAGAGGGTGGGGGGGGGGCACAGGCAGAGGGGTTCTGGTGCACCCCAGGGCCCTCACGTTTAGAGGTCAGCTGGAGATAAAGCCCCCCACCCACTTTGAGGAGGGAAGGGACCCCTGTCATGTGCTGCTGAATTTGAAGAGAAGTGGTTATTTTACCTTTATCAAGTTTCCTTCACTTTAAAACAGGCTGGATTCTGTTGACTGGATCCCAAAATAAGATGGTGTGGAAAGCCTTTATTGTTTTATTTTAAAATGAGATGTGGGGGGATGTTTACCTTCATTGCACAGGTAAAACTAGCTACAGCGGGAAAAAATCAGAACAGTGATTGCCCTGGGTGCGGGATAAGGGAGGATTGGCTGGAGACCAGGGGCCCGAGGGAACTTCCTGGAGTTAGGGCAGCGGTGTGTCTCAAGGCCAGGGTCTGGGTTACACGAATGTATTGTTTGTCAAAACCTGCCTTAATGTGTGTGCATTTTACTGTAAAAACTGCAAACAGATGTTGAACTCCACATAATGCTGAGGTGTTTCGCGGTGAGTTATAATTGATGTCTGCAGCTCACTTTGCAGTTTACATAATTGTGTTGGTGGATGGACGGGGGGTGGGCAGACGTCAGTAAAGATGGGCAGATGTAATACATATACCAAAATATTAATTGTAGGATATAGGTAGTATAGTGGTATATGATATTCATGGTAAAAAAAAAAATTACTTTGCTGTGTGTATAAAATTTTTCGTAACAAAATTTAGGGGAAAATTCTACAGAACACGAAACGCTGTGTTATCTTATATTTAATGTCACTTCATGCTATGTTCCCCAATCTTTAAACATGTAAAGGTGGCATGGTGTTTCCTGCTGTTAGGAATCTACATCTTACTTTCTCTTAATCACTTGCTTGAGTCGTCAGCTCTTTCTCTGCTGCCCTTTGTCCTCAAGAGGCCAGGGTTCAAGGTTTTCGAGCACTTCCTGGGGAAGCAGCTCTAAGGCTCTTATCTTGGCGGATTATCCTAACCCCGGAGTCCCTTCTGAGTCCACAGATTTGCTTTTTTTGTTGTTGTTACATAAATGAACCCATTTAACTATAGGCTAGACAACGTTATCAAATGGTGGTGCTTCTCCTGGTCCTTAATTCCTTCAGTCTTCTTTCTGACAGCAGCCTTGACTGTGACGGCAGAGGTGGAGGTGAAGGTCCAGGCACCACCAGCTGCTGTTCTCACGCAGGAACCGCAGCGCCAAATGCCCACGGCTCGTCCCTTCATCTTGGTTTTGCCACAGAAGGAGCAGGTGTGCTTGGCACGCTGGCGGTTTCATTTTCTTCACCATTTTCCTGAGGGAGGCACCATAACGGGCCCCGTGTTTGCCCATGATTCCAGCCTTGTTGGTGTGTTTCGCCAGGTGGCCGCCACCTAGGTCCGAGCCCAAGAGCCAGATTTACTTTTCAGGCGAACCTCAAACTAATTCCCCACCTCGCCAGGCAAGGGAGAGGCCCGTCGTTCCCTGAAGGAGAGGAGAGGCTTCTTGCCTGCAGCTTCTTTTCTTTGATCCCAGTCCCGCCAGCCTGACCACCCTGGGCCCCCAAGTGCAGCCGTGGGTGCCTTTGAGCGTCAAGGTTCTGACTCTGCCTTAAGTTAAAGGAGAAAAAACTCGAGTGGCCCCCGAAGGGCTCAGAAGCCACATAGGCTTCTTTGAATACTTTCTTTTTCCAGAGGTCATTTATTCACAAGATTTAGAAACAATTTTTTTTCAAGGTTTGCTGTGAGGAGACTCTGTCTTACCCTCTCCCAGCCCCGGGTTTCTCTCACTGCTGTTGCTTCTGTAAATCCATCTGGAGCTATCTTGTGTGTGGCTCATGCTCAGCTGCCTCAGTTGTGTCTAGTCTTCATGACCCCGTGGACTGTAGCCCGCCAGGCTCCTCTGTCTGTGGCATTTCGCAGGCAAGAATACTGAAGTGGGCTGCCATTTCCTTCTCCAGGGGATCTTCCCTACCCAGGGATCGCACCTGTGTTTGTGGCATTGCAGGTGGATTCTTTACTGTCAAGCTACCAGGGAATCATGAACGTTGTTGAGAGAGTAGAGGAAAAGTTCTCATCACAAGGAAAAAAAAAATTTTTATTTTCTTTTAATTTTGTGTTTATATGAAGTGATGGATGTTCACTAAGCCTGTTATGGTAGTCATTTCATGAAGTTTTTATGTTGGATCATTGTGTTTTACACCTTAACCTTACACAGTGCTGTGTTTAGTGGCATCTCAATAAAACTGAAAGGGGGAAAAAAGAAAAAAGCCTTAGCACAGGTTCCCAGGTTTCAGGGCGCTCCAGCCTCCATCCCACTCTACACTTTGAAAAACAGTAGAATTCAAAATAAAACTTGCTTAACACGCGGTAAGCAGTAATGAAACTAAAACTATTTAACTGTGTATACATGAACCTTGAGTGCAGATTCATAGTTTTTGTGACACAATGTCCTCTTAGAATTAACTCTCAGAAGTCCTCGTCCAAGGGTGACTGTGTGGCCCCCCCAGCCCCTCCCCACCCCACCAGGGAGCATTTAACAAAATCTGGAGATACTGGTTTGTCACAGCTGAGGGGAGGAGTGCTGCTGGCCTTAGTGGGCAGAGGTCAGGAAGCTGCCAGCGTCCCACGGCACACAGGACAGCTCTCCACGCTAGAGAGTTTGTTGTCGTTGTTTAGTCTCTGAGTCACGTTGGACTCTCTGCGACCCTGCGGACCCCAGCACGCCAGAGTTTCACTATCTCCCAGAGTTGGCTCAAACTCATGTCCATTGAGTCGGTGATGCCATCCAACCATCTCATCCTCTGTCCTCCCCTTCTCCTTTTGCCCTCAAATCTTTCCCAGCATCAGGGTCTTTCCCAACGAGTCAACTCTTCACATCCGACCAGAGTATTGGAGCTTCAGTGTCAGCATCAGTCCTTCCAGTTAATATTCAGGGTTGATTTCCTTTAGGATTGACTGGTTTGATCTCCTTGCAGTCCAAAGGACTCGCAAGAGTCTTCTCCAACACCACAGTTCTAAAGCATCAATTCTTCGGTGCTCAACTTTCTTTATGGTCCAACTCTCACATCTGTACATGAGTACTAGAAAATCATAGCTTTGACTCTACGGACCTTTGTAGGCAAAGTGATGTCTCTGCTTTTTAAAATGTTGTCTGGGTTTGTCATAGCTTTCCTCCCTGAATGGCTGAGATTGAGTGACCCTAGTTGAGGACGCTGAGAGGTGACGTTTTATCCCATTTCTCTTCTCTGTGGTTCTCCTGGAGCTTTCTGGGAAATACTTCATGAACAGTGGCCAGTCAGGGTAAATACCCCCGGTGTTGACATCAACCTGAGTTACATTTGAGGTAAACCCTTACCGTCCAGAAAATTCCAATTAAAGTAACTTCACTTAGATCCTCATTCTATCAGTTGTATCAACATGGATTGTTTCAAAAGTCTGTGTAACAAAGTACGGATCAGGCTTAGACTCTGCTCACAAGGAAGTCAAAATCCCTCAGAGGCAAGCGGATATGAAACCTTTTTGCTCCTGGAAGGTTTCCAGAAGCAAAACAAGGCCAGGACTGTTCACAGGGCTGCTTCCGCGAGCGTAGAGACAGGCCAGAAACAAAACCCGCAGTTGAAGGAGGGTAGATGAGAGGGGGCGAGAGAGGTGACTTGTGCGTGGGGATTGTTTAGGAGGGGCCTGCCCAACCTGCCCAGCTGTTCAGCGTGGAGCGGGGAGAGTGTGGGCGCCCTCTGCTCGAGGCACTCAACACAGTGGGGGACCTTGGGCCCCCAAGCGCCCTTGGCCTTGAGGACCCTAGCCAAGCTGGGGGAGATGAATGCGTCCACAGTCAACTGTGCGACATGACCTCGGTCCTGAGTGTTTTAATTGGGGTCCGGGAGCCCCACGCCTTGTGTAACTTGTTGCCTGTTTCTTTCCAGATTTCTCCTTTAGAAGGTGGATGTGTGGGATAACATGTCCAGTGTGTCCGAGGAGAGAAGAAAAAGGCAGCAGAACATTAAGGAAGGACTACAGTTTATACAGTAAGGGCTCCCTGCACACCTCATGTCCTCGCCACGTAGCAGTTCCTTTTTGCTGTGGCTCTGCATTTACCAGGGGATAGGAAACTTTTAGTCCTATTCACTTGGGTTAGAAATCAGATATTTTTAGTCCCAGCAATCCTTTCTGTTCCCGGAACATCAGTCTTTTTGTGTTCTGAGGCCGTCACTGATATTTCAGGGTTAAAATCCTGACGTATCTCCCAAAATGTTTGACGGAGGAATTTGAACCTATTTCACTCTGATGAGGGAAAGTCAACATCGGTCAGCACCCAGGGCTTTTGTGGTCACAGTCCTCCTGTTGAGAAGCCTGATCTCCAACTGGCCTTCGTGACGCACGTCAGCAACAGGACCACAGCCCGGGTGGCCATGTCCAAGCAGAAAGACTTCTTTGTCCCTCCTAGGAAGGGGATATTCTTTCCCTCTGTTCTGCAGTGAATTGGAACAAGTAGAACTAGTGTTTCCGTACTATTTTAAAACTTTTTCGGCACGTGAAGAATTAGGCCTTCTTTTAGTAGAAGTAGATTTGAAAGGTAAATGTTTACCCTAAAGAAAGTACAAAAGAATAGTTTTAGATTTTTTTCGTGACTACAGTTACATGTGAATCATGGTCATAGAGGACAAATAGGTCTTTCAAATGTGCTTTGAACCAGTGGTGAGCTAATGAGAACCGCTAGTTTTAGGGTCACTCCTGGATAAACAAATCCTGACAGGGACCTGATCATCAAAATTAACTGGTTTCTTCTTCTTAGGTCACCGCTGTCGTATCCAGGAACACAGGAACAATATGCGGTAAGGAAAAGATGTGTTTGAAAGTAGCCTGTGAACTGTCACATGTATCCCAGCTTGGCAAACCCTGATGCGGCCTTGTGTCTGTTTTTGTAAATAAAGTTTTATTGGAACACAGCCATGCTCATTTGCTGATGTGTTACCTGGCTGCTTTCATGACATGGTTGAGAGAGACTGTATGGCTCACAAAGCCTCAAATCATTACTGTCTGGGTATTTGTAGGAAAAGTTTGTCAGCTCGTGTGTGTAAGACAAGGGTGAGTTTTTCCGCCATATTTGGACAGTTGTGTGTTTTCTTTCCTCTGTTGACACAGTTCTGAGGTGATTTCTTTTGAGCCCCTCGACAATTTCTTTTTGCCTTTCATTTCAGGAAGAATGAGAGGGACAGGTTATTTTGAGAAGGAGAGTATAGAGTGTCTTTTGGTTTCTCTTCAGCAGAGAAACTGTCACAGAAAAGGGGTGACTGGGTAATCAAATGAAAGAGCTGGAGATGAATCTAGTTGGAGAGAAAGCCCAGTGGGCTAGGCCTGGAACTAAAGACCCGCGTCACTGCAGACCGTTAGTTCCCTGTGGCTTTGTGTCTCTGCGGGCTTTGGTGTTTCTGAACGTCACTTCTTTCTCTCTGCCTCCCTCCTTCTCTGTTCATTTCAGCCTCTTCCTTTTCTCCAAACAGACGTAGAACTGTAAAGTATGAGAGCTAGCAATCATGTGGAGCAGTCCTTTGATTTTACGGGCACTCGGGGCCAGAGCGGGGAACCAGCCTGTTTCTCAAGTCACCTCAGTCATTAAAGATTGATCTGGACAGTTTCCTTTGTCACTTTCATCAGCTTAAATGTGAATTCATGAAACGAGATGAAGAGCTGCATGTTTATCTGCCCACTTGATAGGAAAGGATTACTTACTAATTTATTTTGGGAGCTGCACTGGGTCTTCATTGGGTGCACAGACTCTCTAGTTGAGGTGCACAAGCTTAGTTGCTCCGAGGCATGTGGGATCTAGTTCTGTGACCAGGGATCGAGCTGGTGTCCCCTTCATTGGAAGGCAGTTTCTTAACCACTGGGCCACCAGGGAAGTCCCGGAAAGGGACTTTAAAAATCTTAAAGCAATGATAGTAATCCTGAAGGAAACTTAAAGAACCTTTGTCCCTACCAAAAGAACATGTATACTAAAAGCAATAAAAAAAAAAAGATTTGACATCCCCTGGAAGAAAAACTGACCAACCTAGACAGCATATTAAAAAGCAGAGACATTACTTTGCTGACACAGGTCCATCTAGTCAAAGCTATGGTTTTTCCAGTGGTCATGTTTGGATGTGAGAGTTGGATTGTGAAGAAAGCTGAGCACCGAAGAGTTGATGCTTTTGAACTGTGGTGTTGGAGAATACTCTTGAGAGTCCCTTGGACTGCAAGGAGATCCAACCAGTCAGTCCTAAAGGAAATCAGTTCTGAATATTCATTGGAAGGACTGATGCTGAAGCTGAAACTCCAATACTTTGGCCACCTGATGCGAAGAACTGACTCATTGGAAAAGACCCTGATGCTGGGGAAGATTGAAGACAGGAGAAGGGGATGACAGAGGATGAGATGGTTGGATGGCATCACCGATTGGATGGACATGAGTTTGAGCAAGCTCCTGGAGTTGGTGATGGACAGGGAAGCCTGGCGTGCTGCATTCCATGGGGTTGCAAAGAGTCGGATACAACTGAGTGACTGAACTGAACTGAACCCCCTAAATCAGTAAGCCACCTGAACATTTACAAAAGAAGAAATACAAATGGTCCATTAAAATGTGGAGTTCAACCTTGCTGGTAATCAGATATGCAAATAAGTAAAGGATACCGTTTTTCCCCTAGAAACTGGTAGATTTTATGTGTGCGTGCTCACGCACATGTGTATACATGTTGGAAGGGGTGCTCTCAAGCAAGCCACTATATGCATTCATCGTTACTGCCTTTTTTGGAGGACAATTAGAAATACCAGTTAGAAGCCTTAAAATGCTCATTCCACTTGTAGGAATTTATCCTCAGCACAGAGTTGGCGATGTCAACAAATGTTGACAGGCTGCTTTTGCAGCACTTTTCTTTGCATTCATTTTCTTTGAATTTTTTCTTGGAAAAAGCAAGCAGGATGAAACCCTAGCTGAGATAGTAGTTACTTGGCCTAGATTTCATAATTTCTTACAATAGTGCTTGTTGCTCTGTCAAATTATTTCCTCTGAAGTTTTAGATACAGAAATTAAAATTTGCTTGTACTCTGACTTGTTCCTTAAAGAGTTTCAAGGGGTAACATTCTTTTTATTTTTTTTAAGGTATATTTACGTGCTCTTGTGAGAAATCTTTTTAATGAAGGAAATGATGTTTATCGTGAACGTGATTGGAACCACTCTATAAGTCAGTATTCAGAAGCTTTGAGTATAGCTGATTATGCAAAGTCTGAAGAAATTTTAATCCCTAAAGAAATCATTGAAAAACTATATATAAATCGTATTGCTTGCTATTCCAATATGGTGAGTTGTGATTTGTAAAGTACATTAGCAAAAGTCAGCTTTCTAATTTCAGTTTATAGGAAAGATGTATTAGCTGCTTTAGAGAGGCCTCGAGCTTTGAAAAATCAGTTTTGGCCAAATACTTATGAATTTTTAAAAATAATTTGTTTCTTTGATACTGGTCCTTGGAGATTCCCTTTTGAGTATGGCTTTGGGGGAGAGGGGGTGTCTGCTCTTAAAAAAAAAAAAAGTCAGCCTAGGAAGATACAGGTATTCACAGATGGGTATATCAGGTGTCTCTGCTGACAGTTTGCTCCTTATGTTTCTCTTAGGAGTTATTTTTATTTTTTTTAATAAAAAAAAAAAGTAGTGAGCCTTCAAAAGAATTAACACAACCTCTTCACTTATCTAAACTTAAAAAGTAGTATTTTGATGTTCTTACAGTTTTCGTATAGACATTCACGCTTAGGACCTCAGCTATACCTGGACAGCTTTCTTTCTTGAAGATCTGGGGTCTTTTATGGCCAAAGGTCTGGGTGGTGGGTACATAGGTAGCCATGATATTCTTTCTACTTTTCTGTATTTGAAATTTCATAATGAAAATAATTTTAAAAAGACAAAATAAAAACCACTAACAATCCATTTGAGAGGAGAATCTGAATTTGTTTGTGTTTGCATCATTGCAAGACATGAATTGATTGCTAACTTTATTTGGTCTCACTCACCAGGGTTTCCATGATAAAGTTTTAGAAGACTGTGATACAGTCCTCAGTTTAAATGCCAGTAACTACAAAGCTCTGTATCGGAAATCTAAGGCTCTAAGTGATTTAGGAAGATTCAGAGAGGCTTATGATGCTGTAGCAAAGTGCTCCTTGGCAGTGCCTCAGGTATGGTGTTTATGTTCTAGTTCATTTGTTTACATCCTAGCCATTTTATTGCTTCTGTGTAGATGAATGGCATCAAAAAGTTACGTTTTCCAGCCGGCCGTCCACCTGCTGCAGCTGGGAGTAATGGCCCATAAAGCAAGTGTCTTGACAGAGAATAAATTAGAACTGTTTTGTCCCTTCACCTCTATGGTTAGTAAATACAACCCTCTGCAAATCATATATTCTGACTTTTTTCAGGATGAACATGTAATAAAACTAACTCAAGAACTAGCTCAAAAATTGGGATTTAAAATAAGAAAAGCATATGTTAGAGCCGAGGTAAGCTGGAGTTCTCGCCATAAGGTATTTTCATTTTGTTTTGTAACTTGGAGGCAGTTCTGGTTTTAAATTAGCATCTTCATTTTCTTTCAGCTCTCACTAAAATCAGTTCCTGGGGATGGGGCTACAAAGGTAAGGTTATTACTCTTGTAAGAATCATAATTTTTTAAAAAAAGAAAAGATAGAAGTATTAGCAGTTCTGTGTTTAATATTTTTGGATTTTGTTTACTTTTGAGACCTTTTTATTCCTCATACACCTAAGTGGCCAGAGCTTCCTGCCCTATGAAAAGAAAACAAACAGCTCCAGTCGTATCTTTTACTCTCAATTAGCATTTCCTGAAGGCCCATGGAGCATTTTACAGGATGTTCATAGACGTTAGGTGTTATTAGAAAAAGTGGGTTGGGCCACATACTAATTTTAGAAGTCATTGGGTTAAACACAACTAACAAGGTTTATCTTTTTTAAAGATAAGTCTTCTTAGACCTGTTAGGAGGCTCTGTGAGTTGGGGAGGGTGTAATGGTTACACTGGTCCTTCTGGAACTGGAAGGCTCCTGAATATCCTTGGAGAAATACTAAGCCACACAAAACGAGTGGCAAGAGGCCCGCACTGTTTAATCCTATGTATTGCAAAGGTTGGGCCTCCCAGCCAGGTGGCCTGCCAATGCAGGAGACGCAAGAGATGCAGATTTCATCCCTGGGTTGGGAAGATGCCAAAAAGGAAATGGAAGCCCGCTCTGGTGTTCTTGCCTGGCAAATTCCATGGACAGAGGAGCCTATTGGCAACAGTCCATGGGTCACAGAGTCAGACACGACTGGGCATGCACTGGACTGCTCCACACGACTGAGTGTGCACTGGACTGGCCGTTACGAAGGTTTACACTTTCTGTTTGTCTCTATCTTAATTGGAAGGAGATCAGATGTGAGAATTGGCATTGCTCTCTTAGAGTGAGTTTTATAGCTTGCTTTAGAGTCTAGAATCCTGAAAATGCTATGATCTATTATTTGGTTCAATTTCTAGGCTTTGAACTGTTCTGTGGAAGATATTGAACCAGGTATGTTTTCACACACATGTCCTCTTAATCTGAAATGCCAGCCTTGGGGACTTCTGGTGGTCCAGCGGTTAGAACTGCACGCTTCCAATGCAGAGTGCAGGTTTGACCCTGGTCAGGGAACTAAGATCCCACATGTCTCACTGCGCACCAAAGAAAAAGAAAAGAAAAGTGCCAGCCTTAGATGTTATGCACATTATAGTGCGGTCAGTTAGGATTGCTGGGTCGTTAGTAGTATTAAAACAAGAGTCATTTCACAAAGCGCCTCTGTGCCTCGGGCTGTGTCAGTAGTGACTGATAGTACTGACTGTCAGTGAGCAGTTCGGTGTCCACCATGGCGTCACCACCCTCTAGTAGCTCCACGCAAAAGGAGCCCAGGCATTTTGAGAAAGGAGGAAGCGTTTTCACAGGTGAATATATCTGTTCCTGGGCAAAACAAACCCTTTTTTTTTTTACAATTGCTTTTACTCTTTTATCTGAATTGCTTCCACTGTTGTATCTACCTGTTTATAATTGCTTTCATATTTTCACCTTGCTCTTCATTTTCTATTGTCATTGGCTATTAACACTAGTATTACGTAAATATACTGAAAATAAGTGAGCATATGTCCATTCATGTTACAGATTTATTAACTCCGAGGCAAGAAGCACTTTCTGTTGTTTCTATACCCGCATCCAGTTTTTCTCACCAAGTTGGAAATGAGCTGGCCTCAGTTTCCATTATGCCCTTGACTTCTGTTTTGCCACTGCAAGTGGAAGAGAGTTCTCTGCCATCGACGGTGTTGGCAAATGGAGGAAAGATCCCCTTCAGCACGCCGGAAGCGTTTTTAGATGATGGAGATATGGTCCTCGGAGATGAAATAGATGATCTCCTGGATTCTGCACCTGAAACTAATGAAACCGTCATGGTAAATTTCAGTCTGACTCCTTCTTAAGACCTGACTTTCTTAAAAAATTTTGATATAACCTGCTAGATATTTTCAATATTGACTGTAGGCAAAACTTAGGCTTTCTTGAAAATTACTTTTGTCCTTTTCCAGTGGTAGCTGGTTAATTTTGTCATTTTTTAAAATTAAAAAAACAGAACAGGCAAGGAATCACATGTTATGGGAAAGGGAAATTTAACTCCCTGGCAAAGAATAGGCATTTGGTGTGTAAGGCAAAATGAATCGATGGATTAAGGATTTCTCATTCCTTAAGGATGATTCTCCTATAGCTATATAACCATGAAGCAGACTTGGGTCCACAGGCCAGATATGGCCCGCTGCCTCTTTTGTACGGCCCGAACACTAAGACTGGTTTTGAGATCTTAATATGTTTGGAAGAAAGGGAGAAAAAGAACAATGTTTTAAGATGCATGAAAATATCTCATGACACTGCAGTAACAGACTTGAGTAGTTGCACCAGAGACCGTGTAATCCACGAAGCCTCCAATATTGATAGGGCTGTATTATTATCCTGCCCTTTATAGAAAAGTTCACTGACTCCTGCTGTGAAGTATATCAAGATAGTAGCAGCAGTGATACTAGAATGATGATGCGGAGAGGGAAACTCAGAGCTGGTTTCCGGGGAGAGTAAAACCAGTGATGTCCTTGTGGCACTGACAAAGAGAAGATGTAAAAGGCAGACAGACAGACGATGGGGGGTGTGGGTGGGGGAGTTGGTTCCTTCCACTTTGATCTGGGGCAGGTTATTTCACCTCTCAGTCCCTCGGTTTCCTCATCTGTACAGTGACGGTCCTCATAGGATGCACCTCAGAAGGTTAGGAGAATTAAATGGACATATATCCCGCCCTTTAGAGAAAAGTTAGCTGACTCCTGCCGTGAAGCATATTAAAAGAGTGGAAGATATTTTAATTGATATAGGAGGCTCTTGAAAACTTGCCGCTGTGTGGGGGAGGGGCAAGGCACCGTTGCACGTGTTCTCGTGAGGTTGTGCATTGACGTCCCCAAAGAGATGGTCCCCAGCTCCCCAGGCTGCGGCTCCCTCCCCCCGACCACCTTTCCACCCGCCCTGGCCCCACACACGCCCTCGCGGTTCCTCCTGGAGGAAACCTTCTGGTTGGCTCAGAGTGGGGAATGTTAGGAATCCTAGGAAGCTTGGGAAATGAAGCAGGGACTTCTCTTTTGGGTCACAGTGGTATTAGAAGTCACATCTCCAGACTTTTCAAAAAGTGGGCTGGAGAAGTCAGCTCTTTCGCTTGGATTCTGCCATCTTGATTTTGACTCCAACTTTGTTACCTGATAAAATCACCCAGCTGAGTAATTTGTTCTTATGTGCTGATACTAAAAGCAGTTTGGCCAGCTTGGGACAGAGTTTCATGGACTTCAATCCGGTCTTGTTTCCTCCCCAGCCGTCAGCCTTAGTCAGAGGCCCCCTCCCAGCTGCCAGCGTTGGCCCGAGTGTCCCCTTCTCGGCGGCGTCTCTTTTGGGCGCCTTGCCCATCGGGGCAAGGTACGCACCTGCGCCCTCCTTCTCGGAGCTGTATCCACCGTTGACTTCATCCTTAGAAGATTTCTGTTCTTCTTTAAATTCATTTTCAATGAGTGAATCCAAACGAGGTAAGACTCAGCTGCTTATGTAAACAGTTACAGTCCATTTTCTAAAAAAGACAGTCTGTTTAACTAACACTAGGTAGTTGGTACTTGAGTTATTTTCATTGTAGCTGAAAATACTTTGTAGTTCTAAAACCTGAACCTTCCTGTTTTAAATTCACCTGGACTTAACTGTGCCATTGTGGAGATCAAGAAGCCAAGGCCTAAGAGTAGGAATGTATGTGGCACTGTTTGTTTGTTTTGTTTTTGTTTTTAATAGGATAGCTTGTTAAGGTGGGTGTTTGTTGTTTGGGGGGAGGTGAAATGACTTTTAATGTTTTCTCTAGAAAAGGGATAACCCCCTCTTAAAGGGTCTTAAAGACAGGTTGTCCTTTTAAATTCTGAACTAGGCAATACTTAGTTAAGACTAATTTAAAATCAGTGTTTAGAATGATAATAGAACCATGTATTTTTGGCTTCATCCATTGAGCTCAGCAAACTATGGTGCTTTACTTTTGCAAGGGATTGCTGAGGTTTGGGCCTGACTCCTGTTTCTGTAATTCTAGGCTTAATGTATCCTTTAAGTAGCCACAAGAAAAATCTTCATATTTTTGTCAGGCATCATTACAGTTAAATGAATCAAAACCAAAATAATTGATTTAAAGATTGGCAACTGAACAAATGAAAATTTGTGGAAAACAGAGGGCAGAGGGAAAGCAATGAGTGGTAGACTAAGAAAAAGAAAGAAATTGAACCTGACTGATTCTCTTAATGTTTTGATGAGCTTCATACTTTGAAAAGGAGAGAATCCTTTCCCATTTTTAATATGAGTTATCTTCTTAGTCTTTTTAACATTCCCATAGGCCCTGCCTTAGCTCATGTCTCTGAAAAATTGCTTTTTATTGAAATTTGTTTGTCTAAGGATTATTTATGTCCTTGGTTTCTGGAGGAGAGGAGAGACTCCATAGCCCTCTTTGGGTGTCAATAATGAGCAAGAAAGCTTCTCGGAACTGGGATGGGAAATAAAGTGGGAAGCCATAGTGAGCTGCTAAGCCCTGATGTTCTTATTCCGTGATTAGAATGAAAAGGTCTGTTGAAGTTTTTTTATTATTTTAGATCTGTCCACCTCAACTTCTAGAGAGGGAACAGCGCTTAACAACAATAATTCTTCCCTTTTACTTGTAAGTGCCACTTCCTCTTTTGTAACTACATTGCTTAAATTGCAAATAGGTCTTTTACTTAAGTAACTGAGTTATTTGAATGAACGGTACCAGCTCCCTGGAATTTTGTGTGTGCTGTGGGAAAGAGTGCTAAAATAAGACTCTTCTGGAACATCCAGTAATAAGTGCTCTGTGTTTAAGGCTGGATCTGTCATGGCAAATTAATCAACACTGTAAGAGGCTTTAGCACAGCGTGAATGACGAAGAAATGCAAGATCAGGGCATGAAAACCCTGTTGGCTGATGAAGCAGAACAATTACCCATCGCTTATAACAGCTCATGGAGCATCCCAAAATGTGGGGGAGGGGCCTAGAGACCCCAAAGAGAGGAAAATGTAGAAGGAAATGGTTTTTAAATAGAGACATAGTAAGGACAGAATAGTCCCACCTCTAGTCTGTGCAGAATGTCTCATTTCTCAGATGCGTTTGTTTTCTTCTTTAGTGATAGTGCAATATTTGTTGGCTGTTTTTTGTTTTTTTGTTTTTTGTTTTCTTATGCTTCTTGCAGATGAATGGACCAGGCAGTCTGTTTGCTTCTGAGAGTTTCCTGGGAATTTCAAGTCACCCTCGGAATGACTTTGGAAACTTCTTTGGGAGTGCAGTAACTAAACCCGCTTCCTCAGTGACCCCGAGACATCCCCTTGAAGGAACCCATGAACTGAGACAAGCTTGCCAGATTTGTTTTATGAAATCAGGTCAGGAGCAAACCAAGGAGCCCGCCAGTAACCTGGGAGCTCTTAGGAATTTGTAAATCTGTGTGACTCTTGCATCTTTACTTGAGTTCTTTCTAAAGCAGCAGCAATTATTGATTAGGAGCCTTTAGAGTCTAATAGAATAAGTCTCCGGAGAAGGCAGTGGCACCCACTCCAGTACTCTTGCCTGGAAAATCCCATGGATGGAGGAGCCTGGTGGGCTGCAGTCCATGGGGTCACACAGAGTCGGACACGACTGAAATGACTTAGCAGCAGCAGCAGGATAAAGTCTCGGTTCTTCTTTGATGTAATTTTATGTATAGAATCATTTGGAATACAATATTTACCTGATTTTGAAGATTCTTTGCATTTTAAGTATATGTTTAAGAACTTGATGATTTTCAAATCGAGTGAGAACTAGAAAAAAGCATTTTAAGACGAGTATGTGATACAGTGTTTGTGAAAATTAGAGTACTTTCTGTTGGATTATTTCATATCTTTACCCCTAAGTCAAGTGATACAAACAGTTTATTCTAAACGGGGCCCAAATTCATTTTCTTTCTTAGTTAATTTAAGCACGTGCTTTACCTTTACTCAGTTGGTGAAGAATCTGCCTGCAATGCAGGAGACCCTGGTTCGATTCCTGGGTTGGGAAGAACTGCTGGAGAAGGGATAGGCTCCCCACTCCGGTATTCTGGCCTGGAGAAGTCGTGGACTGTAGAGTCCATGGGGTCACAAAGAGCTGGGCACGACTGAGTGACTTTCACTTTCACTTTACCTTCAGAAGCCATTAGGATTCCTATTCTAGTAATTAAATAAGGGTTATATCTTGGGAGCACTGGTGTTTTTGTTCTGATCTTTGTGTTTTGTCTGACAGTACAAAAGGCAAAAATTACTTTCCCTAGCTTGTTTATACTTGGGGATTATGAAAGGACTTTTTCATGGGAATTTAATAATCGTTATTCAGTTGCTTACATCTGCTTATAACTGTGCCTGTAAAATGAAATGATACTTCTTGTGCACATGAACAGTCCTTTTTATATCTTTTTCAGGCCCTAAGCTAATGGATTTCACTTATCATGCTAATCTAGACCATAAATGTAAGAAAGATATTTTAATTGGTAGGATAAAGAATGTAGAAGATAAATCATGGAAAAAAATACGTCCAAGACCAACAAAAACAAATTATGAAGGCCCTTATTATATATGTAAAGGTATGTGCTATAATTACTTAATTGGTGTACCATGGCCTAAGTGAGAAACAATTTGCTACTTTTATTGCAATGGTCCCAGTATTACTGTTACTAAAAATGTTTAGAATTAACAGCAAATTCCTTGGTTTGAAAGATTAGTATTTTTTTGTATTATTTTTACCTTTGCTTTTAATTTGCTGTCTAGTGGGTGTTTTATAGTTATTTATTGAAATAAGGGTTTCACCAGGGTTTTTTTTTTTCCACCAGGTTTTAAACAGAAAACTGTCTCAAACTTTGGGTTCTCTGACATAAACAGAATCAGAACACTGAACTAAGCCTTTGATAGTGTTACTCTTTTAATGTATTTTTGAGAGAAACACAGTATTTTCATTTTGTCAGACTGCTTCACCTAAATGAGCTTTCAGTCAGTGAAGTTGCTCAGTCGTGTCTGACTCTGCGACCCCATGGACCACAGCACGCTAGGCTTCCCTGCCCATCACCAACTCCTGGAGTTTGCTCAGACTCATGTTTATTGAGTTGGTGATGCCATCCAACCATCCCAACCCGTGTCGTCCCCTTTTCCTCCCGCTTTCAATCCTTTCCAGCATCAGGGTCTTTTCCAGTGAGTCAGTCTTCACATCAGGTGGCTGAAGTATTGGAGCTTCAGCTTCAGCATCAGTCCTTCCAGTGAATATTCAGGAAACGAGCTTTGAATGTCCATAAATGATAGAATGGGAAAGACTAGAGATTCCCTTCAAGAAAATTAGAGTTACCAAGGGAACATTTCATGCAAAGATGGGCTCAATAAAGGACAGAAATGGTATGGACCTAACAGAAGCAGAAGATATTAAGAAGAGGTGGCAAGAAAACACCGAAGAACTGTACCAAAAAGATCTTCACGACCCACATAATCACAATGGTGTGATCACTCACCTAGAGCCAGACATCCTGGAATGTGAAGTCAGATGGGCCTTAGGAAGCATCACTATGAACAAAGCTAGTGGAGGTGATGGAATTCCAGTTGAGCTATTTCAAATTCTGAAAGGTGATGCTGTGAAAGTGCTATACTCAATATGCCAGCAAATTTGGAAAACTCAGCAGTAGCCACAGGACTGGAAAAGGTCAGTTTTCATTTTAATCCCAAAGGCAATGCCAAAGAATGCTCAAACTACTGCACAGTTGCACTCATCTCACACGCTAATAAAGTAATGCTCAAAATTCTCCAAGCCAGGCTTCAGAAATACCTGAATCATGAACTTCCGGATGTTCAAGCTGGTTTTAGAAAAGGCAGAGGAACCAGAGATCAAATTGCCAACACCCACTGGATCATCGAAAAAGCAAGAGAGTTCCAGAAAAACATCTATTTCTGCTTTATTGACTATGCCAAAGCCCTTGACTGCGTGGATCACAATAAACTGTGGAAAATTCTTCAAGAGATGGGAATACCAGACCACCTGACCTGCCTCTTGAGAAACCTGTGTACAGATCAGGAAGCAACAGTTAGAACTGGACATGGAACAACAGACTGGTTCCAAATAGGAAAAGGAGTATGTCAAGGCTGCATATTGCCACCCTGCTTATTTAACTTATATGCAGAGTACGTTATGAGAAATGCTGGACTGGAGGAAGCACAAGCTGGAATCAAGATTGCCGGGAGAAATATCAATAACCTCAGATATGCAGATGATACCACCCTTATGGCAGAAAGTAAAGAAGAGCTAAAGAGCTTCTTGATGAAAGTGAAAGAGGAGAGTGAAAAAGTTGGCTTTAAAGCTCAACATTCAGAAAACAAAGATCATGGCATCTGGTCCCATCACTTCATGGCAGATAGATGGGGAAACAATGGAAACAGTGGCTGACTTTATTTTTCTGGGCTCCAAAACCACTGCAGATGGTGATTGCAGCCATGAAATTAAAAGATGCTTACTCCTTGGAAGGAAAGTTATGACCAACCTAGACAGCATATTAAAAAGAGAGACATTACTTTGCCAACAAAGGTCCGTCTAGTCAAGGCTATGGTTTTTCCAGTGGTTATGTGTGGATGTGAGAGTTGGACTATAAAGAAAGCTGAGTGCAGAAGAAGTGATGCTTTTGAACTGTGGTGTTGGAGAGACTCTTGAAGGTCCCTTGGACTGCAAGGAGATCCAATCAGTCAATCCTAAAGGAAATCAGTCCTGGGTGTTCACTGGAAGGACTGATGCTGAAGCTGAAACTCCAATACTTTGGCCACCTGATGCGAAGAGCTGATTCATTTGAAAAGACCCTGATGCTGGGAAAGATTGAAGGCAGGAGAAAGGGATGACAGAGGATGAGATGGTTGGATGGCATCACCGACTCAATGGACATGAGTTTGAGCAAACTCCGAAAGTTGGTGATGGACAGGGAGGCCTGGCGTGCTGCAGTCCATGGGGTAGCAAAGAGTTGGATATGACTGAATGAGTGAACTGAACTGAAATGATTTTTTAAACTTAGGTGGTGAACATGCAAACATCAGGGCTTTTTTTGCCCTGTCTGAAATAAAAGTAATTTAGAATTGTGCTGCTGTTTTTTGTTTGTCCGTTTGTTTGTTTTAAGTGTTAATACCTTTGGGACTTCCCTGGTGGCTCAGATGGTAAAGAATCTCCCAGCATTGTGGGAGACCCAGGTTCAATCCTGGGTTGAGAAGATCCCCTGGAGAAGGGGATGTCTACCCACTCCAGTATTCTTGCCTGGAGAATTCCATGAGCCTGGCAGGCTACAGTTCATGGGGTCTCAAAGAGTCAGACACAACTGAGCAACTAACACTTTCATGCTTTTAATACACCATTCCTGCGTAGTAATATGAGTACCATGGTTTGAAGCTATCCATGAATTGTTACAAAAATTTAAACAATGCCCTTAGTGTGTTTAATATTCATTGGCTTTGAAAACACAGTGGCCCATGTTTTAAATGTCTTTTAATTCCCTGTCTCCCCCCACTTTTTTTTTTAAATTTTGTTTGAAAATCTTTTTTTTTTTTTTTTCGTTTTTCAGAGATAGTTACTTTACAATGCTGTGTTAGTTTCCGCTCCACAGCAAAGTGAATCAGCCGCACGTGTACACACATCCCCTCTTCGTGGGATTTTCCTCCCACTGAGGTCGCCACAGAGCATTGAGTAGAATTCCCTGTGCTCTGCAGTTGTCATTAATTATCTGTTTCATTCACATTAGTGATGCATGCCAATCCCGATCTCCCAATCCATCCCACCTCTGTTAATTTCCTGTCTTTCTAGACGTTGCCGCTGAGGAGGAATGTAGATATTCAGGCCACTGCACATTTGCTTATTGCCAGGAGGAGATAGATGTCTGGACGCTGGAGCGGAAGGGGGCGTTCAGCAGAGAGGCTTTCTTTGGTGGCAATGGAAAGATCAGCTTTACCGTGTTCAAACTATTCCAGGAGCATCTTGGAGAATTTATATTCCTCTGTGAGGTACTGTCTCCAAATCTTTCTACTGTGAAAGAGGTGGTGGTTTCTGACCCACAAGTATCAAGTACTTCGGTCTGGTCCTGCTGTATGCTAAAGCATTTGCTTAAGCAATGGTAGCCACTATTACTATGCAAAAGAATAACATTAAGATGTCCTGTTTGCCGAGTGTTAATTGACATGTGCTTGTAATGTGTAAGTATGAACGTCATCAGCATCACACAAAAGTTATCATCTTGTATTACATTTTTATGATAATTCTTCTTCTCTATTTCAGAAATGTTTTGATCATAAGCCTAGAATGATAAGTAAAAGAAACAAAGATAATTCTACTTCATGTTCTCATCCGGTTACAAAGCATGAATTTGAAGACAATAAGTATGTTGGTATTTTCTAGTATTTTTAGTGACAAAATTAATCCTCTTTTTAGACCCAAATGAAACCAGAGTAACATCTCCCCAGGCATTCCCCTCTCCTTGTGTTGCTGTTTTGAAAGATGGTGACTATTTTTAAATGGCTAATAGGTTTTGCTGAGAATTTTAAAATGAATTATTAAGATTTAATACAGAAAAGCAATACTGATTTATAGCTTCTCATGACATGGATTTAGGTATTTTAATATAGCCTAATATAATTATCCTCTCCTCTCCCCAATTAATCCTACAGTTGCATACAGTGATTTGTTTTTTTCTGATAAAGATTTAAAATCTATTTTCAGTCTAGAATTTTACATTTTGTATGTGTATATGGGCTTCTTGGTCGCTCAGATGGTAAAAAAAACCCACCTGTAATGCAGGAGACGTGGGTTTGATCCCAGGATTGGGAAGATCTGCGGGAGAAGGGAATGGCAACCCACTCTAGTATTCTTGCCTGAGAATCCCTTGGGTAAGAGCCTGGCGGGCTACAGTTCACGGGGTCACAGAGTCAGACATGACCGAGTGGTTACGCACACACACGTGTGTATGTACATTTTTGTAAAAGGCTATGGTGGGACAGTAGTGAAGTGTCACTCCATTTTCCCCTTAGGTGCCTTGTCCACATTTTGCGAGAGACAACAGTCAAGTATTCCAAAATACGTTCTTTTCATGGCCAGTGTCAGCTTGATTTATGCCGACATGAGGTTCGATATGGCTGTTTAAGGGAAGACGAATGCTTTTATGCACATAGTCTCGTAGAATTGAAAGTCTGGATATTGCAAAGTGAAACAGGTGCGTTTGTGTGAGATTGAGACAAGTCCCCTCGAGAGCAGTCAGGGTTTACGAAATGGTGTCAAAGGCCTTTCTCCACCAGTCTGGTGTAGCAGCACTGTTGATTTTATCCTGAGTCACTTCATCTTTAGAGTGTCCTGTTTTGAATGTGGTCTCGTATAAGTAATTGATACAAGTTTATGTATGCAGTACGGATCCGTGAGGAAGAAAGATTCTTTGGAAGGCACCAAGAGCTGTATTTGCAAAGATTCCATTTCAGAAGAGTAGTATGATATTCATCTTTGGTGACAGATTATGCCAAATGGGGGTAAAAAATTGAGTCTGACTGTGCCTAGACAGATAGCCTGGTATTGCATAAAGAACCTAAAAAAACATCTTTGGCATTTCTCAGGTATCTCACACGATGATATTGCCCAGGAATCTAAACGATACTGGCAAAATTTGGAAGCAAATGTACCTGGAGCTCAGGTATGTTTTTCCTTTGTCCTTTCTGCATTTGGGATCTTTTCTGGAATGGCCTGATGGATGTGAGTAGTTGGCAGATGCAGTTTATACTTCCATAAAATCCAGTTACTCTCTTGAGTTTTCTTGAGTTTACTGAGTTAAGTGGGAAAAAAAATTGAGTAAATGTGAAAAAAAAAAATTTCTGAATTTTAGTTGATTATCATGGTAAAAAAAAACAAAAACTAGGCATCTCATAACACCTGCCAAGAATATAGGTTAGGAAATTCCCTGGTGGCCCAGTGGTTAGGACTCTGTGATTCCACTGCGGGGGCCAATGGGTTTGATCCCTGGTCAGAAAACTAAGATCCTGCATAGCCAAAGAAGAAAAGAATATAGGGTACAATTTTCTCTAATTATTTTGTCTTTTGGCCACACCACATAGCATGTAAGATCTTAGTGCCCCAACCAGGGATTGAATCCACATCCCCTGCAGTAGAAAGCGCAGAGTTCTAACTACTGGACTCTCAGGGAAGTTCCAGGATACAGTTTTCTTATTCAGTTTTATTTGGCAGAACAGCTGGGGTTTTGGGCTGTGAGGATCCTCAGAGGAGAGGAGCTAGACTATGTAGTTTTGTTCACCACTGAGCCAGACTGCTTTATCCAACCATCCTCCTTCCTCTCTCCCCACAAGTCCTAAACATTAACACCAGAGCTGACTTTGATAAATTTAAGTTTGGCATCTGTGATCTACTTTCATCATATTCTCTTATTTTTGGGTAGAGAACTGGAGATTTAGTTATCAGATCGTATATATAGTGGTTAAATCATCAGACCAGACGAAAACAGGAGTTGTGTGCTGTTATATTTTAAAAAAAAAGTAATAGCACACAGTTGTGCATGGTGAATGAATGTGTTCTCAGAGAATGGTTTTCTGTTCAATTAAAACTGATCTCTTAATTACTTAAGGTACTTGGCAATCAAATAATGCCTGGATCCCTTAATATGAAGATAAAATTTGTATGTGCTCAGTGTCTGAGAAATGGCCAAGTCATTGAACCAGACAAAAACAGAAAATATTGCAGTGCAAAAGCAAGGCATTCGTAAGTAGTTTGTGTGTGTGGAAATAGTGCCTGTTTCTTTTCATGGGCGTAAAATCATACATATAAGAAGGAAGATTAAGACTGTGAGGAGGGCAAAGGAAAGTAGACAATTTAGGAGTAATTGCAAAGCGAAAAGAAAGAGATTTTTAGGATGTAGTAGCTAAGAATTCAACAAAATTCAATAATGTTTTTCCTGTATTTTACCATTTCCTTGTTTAGGATTCATAGAGAATGTCTGTTTATAAATATCAACAGGAAGTGAAATGACAGAATCATAAGGCATTTCTTTTAGAAGGGTTGAAAAAAAAAGATCTCTGGTCCCTTAGGTACAGACTTTGGACCTGCCCCTTTATGTTATGCCTCTGCCAGTGTGTTTTTGTTTTTTCTGAACTCCATTTTTCTTAGGTGGACCAAAGATCGTCGTGCGATGAGAGTGATGTCTATTGAACGTAAGAAGTGGATGAACATCCGTCCTCTTCCCACAAAGAAACAAATGCCTTTACAGTTTGATGTACATACGTAATTTTTAAGCCACTTTTTTTTTACTAGGCATTTCAAATCATTAGAAAGTAGTAGTAATTCAGATGGAAACTGGTACCCTTTAAATAATGCCCATCGTGTTACTAAAATCTAAGTGGTCCTTTTCGTTTTCCTTCCCCTTTTGTGTGTGTGGGTCTGGCGCAGTTTTTAGGTTGGTTGGAATGAGTTACTTAGGAGACATAGAAAATGAACTAGAGAAAAGTGATGGTCTAGACTCAGCTTATTTTCCAGATGAATGACTGAGCAAATGGGAGAGAATTTCATCTGTATTTGATTCCTCAGCTTTGCTATCAAACCCAAGACTTTTCCGTATTATTATTAACTCTGTTGATGAGTTTTTGGTGTGTTTTTTTTTATTTTATCACACCTGTTTCTTTCACTGAAGCAATGGATGCTCGCTAAAGGATACCTAACGTTACAGGATTTTCTTGAAGTAACCCAAAGGAAAAATGCTTCCTGTTAGAGCAACATGTTCCCCAAAAGCCCTTACATTGAGAACACCAAACTGACTTACAAGGTTCACATTTCAGCTTGGTCCCTCTGGTCCCCTATGTGGTCTTAAAGATGGTCGTCTGGGCAAAGCTTGGAACTGGCCCGACTTTCTTGTTCACAAGAGAGTGTCTGGTGGGGTTTTACCTGAGCTCAGGTGAGGGGCACTTTCTGCCCCAGTGGAGGAAACATGGAGAGAGTCTTTTGCCCAGAGCAGCAGTGCAGATGGGCTGCAGAGTCCCCACTAATGAGGCTCCTTCTCCAAACTGCCAAGGAGTTGAGGAAGAGGCGGGTTCATTTCCCATCACCCAGGGCACCTTGCCGTTTGTGAAACTTAGCGCAGGTTGCAAGGCCAGTCTTTGAAGGAGGTAATGTGTTTGTGTTTATCTACTGTGGTTTCAGCCTCATAGATAGGGGTGATTTATTAGTGGGCTATGATAAGAGAGGAGGAAGGCTTATTAGAACCAGTGATTATCTTGTGCTTCAGTAGATAGTGGAGATTATAGATGTACTTCTCAAAATTTTGCCAAAACAAAGACGACTGGGAACAGTTTTAGCTCATGAGGCAGCTTCCTAGAACCACTGATTATTCTCTCATCGCAGACATGGTGTTCTACCTGTAATATTTATAGGAGCCCATTTCCTCTGTTTCCCTACCCCACTAGATATTGCTAAGGGATCCTTTTTCTAAAAGAAGAAATAATACTCTGCGTGTGTGTATGTGCGTAGGCAGTGTGGTGAGGTGGAGAGAGGATGGGCTTCAGGGTCTGCCCAAAGGGCCAGTTAGTCAGCCTCAGTCTGCTCATCTGTAAATGGAAATCATTGCATCCTAGGGAAGATATGTGAGATGGTGTTGTGTAAAAACCGCACAGAGCGACCTTCTCCTTTATCTTTTCTTCTCCCTGCTCCTTATCACTGAGCTTTGAAAGACAATGGTCAGTGTCTACCCAGTAATACCTAAGTACTTCCTGGGACTTGACTGGGAAAAGAATATAAGAAAATCCATCACAAGAATGTTTCGTTGACTACTGACTTCCTACAAAAAATTGTAAAGGGGTTGGGGGGTCCCTGACTTTGGTTCAGGGGAGGAAAGGAGCAGTGTTTAGTGTTAACTGCTTCTTGATTTTTGGTGAAAGTCAATGCTAAGCATTTACTGTTATATAAACTAATACATAGAGCCAGCTCCTGTTGAAACATGGATAAACTAAGACAAGCTAACATTGAATTGTACTAGGATTTATGCTCCATAAAGACAAGTATGTTGATGATATTTACGAATGAGCTCTCGGTGACAATGGTATTCCTAGTTCTTAACAGTCACAGGTCTTAGGGAAATCTGTGTTCTGCTGACTGCTCTCACTTTATTTTTCCTACCAGTATCACTGTATTTACTCTGTAAAATAAAAATGTAAATAACCACAAGAGGTATTACTTGAATGCTGTATAACTGGATGGCCTGGTTAGTGGAATAATTGTCTTCTGACACTGCAGAGCTAGTGAATGATGACTGAGATTAGCTGCCAGTATCGGTGAGAAGTAAACGTCAGAGGTTTTCTCTGACCTTGTTTATTGGAGGCGTCTGCAGTTTCTTTCCTGCTTCCCAAGGGCTGACAAGGAGGTGTCCTGGGTGTCAGGCAGAGGAGAGTAGGATATGTCATATTGAGGGGGCCGGAGACTTGCACTGCAGAGATAAAGTGCCCTGCTGTGTTGAAAGCAGATCCTCTGAATAAGTGAATCTGTTGACATTTTCTTATAAGAAAGTGTTCCATGTTCCAGTTCCATACTTATGCTCTTTTGAAAAGTTTTGAGACAGAAAGCTTGATAACATCTCTTGTCTTTGGGGCTTATAGTCAATTTGAATAGGAGCAAACTAATCTCATTTAAAAACTCTGTTACTCAGCATTAGCATGGATAATAATATTGATTTTGCTTAAATGTAAAAATTAGGCCATTTTACCCAGTGTGCTCTGTCTTAAAGCACATTCATGTATTTTTTACACAGCTGTGCAATCATATTGCTTCTGGGAAAAAATGTCAGTATGTTGGAAACTGTTCCTTTGCTCACAGTCCTGAGGAACGAGAAGTGTGGACCTACATGAAGGAGAACGGGAGTAAGTTGATGATTAACCATGGCCTTGACACCCACAGAATCCAGCTCGCCTGGAAGTCCCTTTCCTCCCTGTAAATTGCCAGCTTACAGGGAACACAGAAGGCAGTCTGTGCTCTAAACCATTATCTCATTTTATCAGTGAAGCAGAGTCTGACCACCAGTCGTGTTTGCTTAGGTCAAATTTGGATACAAAAACATAGGTCAGCATCCTCTGACATCACAGGCGTGTCCCTGAGTCACTGTCTGGGGAAGTTCAGTCCCTCCACGAGTGCTCGGGTCAGATTGCCTGCTCCTGGTATGAAGTCACCCCTGAATTCATCAGGTTGGAACTGGAGGTTTCGTCCGGGAACTCTTACGGGTAGAACAGGCCCACACGCAAAGGCCCAAGGAGAGAATGTCTTGGTCAGGCATCAGTTTTACTGTGAGAGCCTTGGAGAGAAGCCTCAGGCAACCTTTCACTTCTGACCAGAAAAGGTTTTGCTACCAGGATCATTGTTCTTCAGTCTTAAGTAAACTGATCAAAATTTACTGATGGCTTAAGATCTGCAATCTGGGGATTACAAGAACCAATCTGATTTAAGCACATCACCTATTGTATTTCAGCCATGTAAACATTCAGTGACTTGTGTGAGTGGGACTCCTTGCTTGGAGTGAGGACTCGAGGTTGGCCTTCCTGAAGGTATTCTTGTAGCAATTCCTGCTACCACTGGCCTGAAGGAAGAAGGATTTCCTATTTTTATCTCTAATCTTAGCTGGATGTATATTGTTAGAAACACTTGAGCAGGCAGTAGTGCCGGGTTTTGACCAGATCCTCATTTCCAGCCTTTTTTTTAAACTCAGTGCCTCTCAGCTGGGGATGAGTTTTGCCACCCACACCCCTCTCCCCTTGGGGACAGCTGGTAGCGTCTGGGCCTTTCATTGTTATGACTCGTGGGGCGGTGTTACTGGCAGCTAGCAGGCAGAGGCCAGGGAGACTGTTAAATGTCGTACATGCACAAGGCTTATCCAGCAGCAAAGAGTTGTCCGGCTCAGCACACAGGCGGTGCTGAGGCTGAGAAACCTTAGTTTTATCAGTGGATGGTAATGCCGGATACACTTGTTCCTACTGTAAGAAGCAGCTTGCAGCCACAGCCCAGGACCTGGTCATCACCATGCTGTTGTAAATTGCACCCCTGCGTGTCCGTCCTCTGGGACAGTAGCTGGACTGACGGAGTCCCATCAGGGTCAGAATCTTGGTCCCTATAGTAGGTTTCTCACCTTTCTCAGTAAACAGTGAGGAGCTGCATAAGTTGCCTGTGTGTTTACAGCACTGATAACTGAGTGTTTGACCTGGGCTATTGTGAAGCTGTGGCTTTCCTTTTTAGCAATGCCCTTGAAATGGCTTCTGAATTTTATTTTTTGGCTGCACCGTGCAGCATGTGGAATCTTAGTTCCCTGACCAGGGATCAAGCTTGTGTCCCCTGCACTGGAAGCTCAGAATCTTAACCACTGGACCACCAAGGAAGTCTTGGGTTTCTGAATTTTAAACACCTACAACGTGTCTTGCAAATACAGGGAGAAGTTCATCAATCTTGAAAATTAATGTTTGTCTGTGTCCTAACGGACCTGAATTTGGTTCTTACCCTGAGCGTCTGGAACTGGCCCGTCTCTCATGTCTAATAGATGATCAGTCTCTGTTTGCTTCTTGATTTTCTTTTGAAAATTACGCCAACTAATGCAAAAAGAATGCATGCTCTTGTATTTAAATAGTGTCTTTAAATATTTGCCGCTGAGAGGAGTTCATTTTTCTTTAGTACAAGATATGGAGCAGTTTTATGAACTCTGGCTAAAGAGCCAAAAAAATGAAAAAAGTGATGATGCAGCCAGTCAGTCCAGCAAAGAGAATGGAAAGCAAATCCACATGCCGACGGATTACGCGGAAGTTACTGTAAGTACCGCAGGTTGGTTCCCTTGCCTGTGCTTCCAGGCCTTTCTTTTCTTTCCTACCTTCTCCCAAACCTGGCTCCCTCGCTCCCAGCTGGCCTACCCACCTCCCTCCCGGTGTCTTCATCTTCTCTTTGCGCTGGCTCCCCGCTGTGAGTCTAAGCCTCTCCCGTCCTAAAACTCCTTTCCTGCCTCCTTTTTCTGACTCTGGAAGCAGGAGCTGGTGAGTCACTAGCCTGAGACCCTGGGTAGCTTACTGAACGCCTCTGAGAGAGAGATGCGAAGCGTGATGAGCCTGTGGGTGTATCCCACTGCTGGGCCACGGCAGGTGTTCAGGAACCGAGGGCTCCCCACCCCCAGGTCCTCCTTGTTTTGGATGGGATGCTATGCAGCATGTGGGATCCCCAGCCAAGGATTGAACCCATGCCCCCTGCACTGGAGTCTTAACCACTAGACCATCCCGGAGTGCCCACCCCGCCCCAAGTCCTCTTGTTCCCTTATCATCCTCCTGCGGTCTGACCTCTGTCTCTGGCTTCCACCCAGACATAAGTCACCTGTGGTGTTTCACTGGGCTTTCTTTAACGTGTTTCAGAAAAGTAAAGGGGTTAATATAAAGAGTATCTTGAGCCAGCCATCCCCACTCAACTGATGTTAGCAGTTTGCTGTGTTTGCTTCTGTTGGGTAAATAAAACGTCACAGATGAGGTTGGAACCCCAGTTGTCACCCTTCCCGGAGGGACCAGATCCAGTGTGTCTTTTTCCAGGCCGTCTCCATATCTTGGACTGTCGATTGCTAATCTGTAGTTCTGCCCAGCGTGGTTTTTTAAACTGACACAGACGTACGCATTAACTCTGCTCCTTGTTTCCCGTTTGTTTTTTTGGCTTCTCTCCGAATTCAGTCAGTCAGACCCAGGTCAGGGACGTGTCTCTGCTCATCATGAGCCCTGTGTACTCTGCCCTCTCTGCCCGGGCTCAGCACGGTGTCTCGTCACCTTTTCTTAAGTACTGCTGGGGTTTCCAGAGCAGGGTCACCCCGACTTGCTGGGTTGTGAGAGTCACCTGTCTCTGTGAGCCTGTTCTCTCTAACCCCTTCCCCCTGCTCCCCAGCACTACACAGCATGTGAGGTCCTGGTTCCCCCACCAGGGATCAAACCCACATCCCCTGCATTGGAAGCACAGAGTCACAACCACAGAGCCGCCAGGGGAGTCCCTCTGTAAACCTGTTCTTACCCAGCGTCACACCGGGTTCTGACCCAGGGCACTTGGGAAGTCCTGCTCAAACACCGCACGCCTGCATCTGTGGCAGCACAGAGTTCCTAATAAAGTTCATGGGTCTCTGCCCCCGGGGCGGCGTCTTCGCAGCACGGGTACTTCCCCGGCCCCCGGCACAAGTCCTGGCCCGCAGTGGGGGCTCAGTTCATGTGCAAGAGTGGAGTTACTGCTCCTTGATCTTGCGCAGCAGGTGAGCCCTGGGCTTTCGCAGCCTCTCTGATTTTCCTCATGGTATTTATCCTCCCCGGGACCCTGGTTTGAACCTGGCCCCCCATCCTCCCGACAGACACCCTTGTTGGCAAACTGACTTCTTGCCAGACAGTGCCTGGACCCCCGCCCCAGCCCATTGCCCTGGCTCTCTGCTTCCTATGTGCTAGGGGGACCCTTGGCCCATCTCTCCCTGCTGGACGGGCTCCCCAAGAATAGAATGTGGGCCTTAGGTGGAGTTGTTTTTAGTCAGTCTGGGACCTGAACACGGGTGACCTATCAGGGCCCCCCCAGACAGCAGCTGCTGACGCGATGCGTGTCTTCTTTGCGCTGCAGGTGGACTTTCACTGCTGGATGTGCGGGAAGAACTGCAACAGTGAGAAGCAGTGGCAGGGCCACATCTCCTCCGAGAAGCACAAAGAGAAGGTCTTCCACACCGAAGACGACCAGTACTGCTGGCAGCACCGCTTTCCCACGGGGTATTTTAGTATTTGTGATAGGTACGTGGGTCTCTGCAGCTCCCCACGTGAACTCTGCCGATTGGGCTTGAATTGCACAGTCGTTGTATCAGTAGACAGGGTGCAGGCTAAGTCGCTTCCGTTGTCAGACTCTGTGCAACCCCATGGACTGTAGCCCTCCAGGCCCCTCTGTCCATGGGATTTTCCAGGCAAGAATGTTGGAGAGGGTTGCCATTTCCTTCTCCAGGGGATCTTCCTGACCCAGGAATCGAACCAACATCACTCACCTCTCCTGCTTTGGCAGGCAGGTTCTTTGCCACTAAGAGCTACCTGGGATGCAGTAGACAGGGTACCTGGGTGGCAAAGTCTTCTAATCCTGGATGTTGGCATTTGGGCTCAGAGTTTAGTTGCTCCCTGAACATTTCCTTCACTCACCTGTGTTACCTGAAAAGATTCACTAGTTTGCCTGCACTGGAGTGAAACATCTTAAGATAACCAGATAGGGAAGTAAGTTCCTTCAGGCATGCCCAGATGGTCTATGAGCCGGCAGTGAGGATTCTCTGACTCTTCACAGCCCTCTTTTCGTAGTAGATGTAAGTGTAGTTAGAAAATTTTTCAGTGAAAAGCTGCATAATTTTGAATTGCTCCTTATTTTGTCGTTGCTGTTTGTTTGATTTCCCCACTTAGATCCATGTGATACGTAGAATTATTGAAGATATTTTCTACTTCCTGTCCCCTCTGACTTCTTTCTGCTGCATCAGGAAGGAGTGGAGTGTTTTTTTTTTCCCCTTGGCAATCAGTCTTTTTCATTAACTAGTGCATTTAAGTAGTTTAAGGTACTCTTTTCTCTATTCTAAATGCCAAGGCAATAAAGTACTCAATTTTATTATACTCCAATATAAAAGTTTTAAAAATACTCATTTTTCTAGGATTATGAGTTTGAGCTAAAAGTTTAACACAAACCATAAAGGTAGTGAAGAGCACATTTTAAAGATTGTTATAAGCATCGGGTGGACACTTACCAAGCTGACTTGTCCTAACAGGTATATGAATGGTACCTGCACAGAAGGAAGCAGCTGTAAATTTGCACACGGCAACGCTGAACTTCATGAATGGGAAGAGAGAAGAGACGCCCTAAAGATGAAGCTCAACAAAGCACGAAAAGATCACTTAATTGCCCCCAACGATAATGACTTTGGAAAATATAGTTTTTTGTTTAAAGATTTAAACTAATATGCTGGCTTTTATGTATGTTACCTAATCAGGGCATTGACCAGAAAAATTGAAAGTGTTCTAAGGCACGTAGCAGAGGAGCTGCAGGTTTTCTGCTTGTATTGGCGTCTCGTCCCTCCTGAGCAGCAACCCACAGTAGGTAGGAAAACGGGCTGTTGGACAGGTCTGGCCAGGCTCTCAGGGCATCACATGGTGAAGTGACTGCTACTGGTTGCCATCTGTTGAACAGACTTTTGGATGAATTGTGTTGGGGGAAGAGGTGATGTCTAGGATGACTCCTTGAGTTGGTCCTTCAGATAAGAACCACGATGGTGAGAGAGAAACACTGTACTAGGATCAGAACACATGATGGATGAAATTCTTCACATGTTTTTAAGAGGAACGAATTTGTCTAATAAAGTTCGCTACTTATCTGTACGTAGGTTGCTAAAAAGGATTTTCTTAACTCAGATTTTAAGCCAAATAACCATTTAACACTAGTATATGTTAAATGGGGTATTTTTCTGTATTTGTATGTTTCACTATAATAAGGGAACTGAGGATAATGTGCATTGAGACTATTTTGAAAAATAATCAGTTGACTCAAATTTTATTTCTTGGTCTTTTGCTGTTTAAATGATGATTTTGAAAGATTAAACTTGTACTGTTGGTATTGTGTAGTGTATGGACCAATATTGCCTGTAATAAAGATTTTATATATAGATGTCTTTCATTTTGTGGTGTGGTCCTTGCCTCACAAAGAATTGTTAAAACTGGGTACTAAAATCACAAGGTTAGGTCTTTTTTTTTTTCTGGCCACTCCATGCAGCTTGTGGGATCCCAGTTCCCCAACCAGTGAACCTGGGCCCTTGGCAGTGGAAGCATGAAACCCTAAGCATTGGGTCACCAGGGAATTCCCTAGATTTTTTAAAAACACGTTTCTTTAAGCAATTAATGACAGAAGGTAAATTAGAGGGACACAGCAGCAACTGCCACTCTGTCCCACTCTCTTGCGATTCGGATTGCTAAAAGGCTTCTCTTATTGACCGACATGCTAACCCCTCTACGAGCTCTTCTGTGCTTTCATTTAGATGAACACTCAGCAAGGGGACACACGGTCAGCTAGGACACTGGCTGTGGGACTCCACAGAGGTAGCCGTCTAGGGTCGTGGTTGCTGAAAGACCGCTGAAGACATGGTCAGCGCAGAGACAGAAAGGCACTGTCGTTCTGTTAGGTCTCCCTAGTCTGACGGCCTTCATGACGTTTTTCTTTTCCGTCCTTCCAGAATTCTTTTGTGCTCTTTCCAGGGAGAATAGATGTTAAAAAAAGATATCTCTGGTGCTGTTTCAACCTGCAGTTTAAAAAGTTGGTTGTTTTAACCTTGGAAATCTAGGCTTGAAACCTCATTTGGAATCCTCTGACTGGTCAAGAGGAGAATTTTTTTGATTTTCACACCCCATCTCAAAATTTTCTGTGCCTCGGCTCTCTTGCAGTTCTCTGCTCTGAACCATCCCACTTCTGCCTAAGTCATTCAGTTTGTTGCTCTGGTTTCCACCTAAGAACCCTGCAGGCCACAGCCTTGGTCTCAGCACCAGGATTTATGGTTGTTCAGTCACTAAGTCGTATCCGACTCTGCGACCCCATGGACTGCAGTGCACCAGGCTCCCCTGTCCTTCACTGTCTGATGGAGTTTGCCCAGAATCATGTCCATTGAGTCGGTGATGCTCTTTAACCATCTCACCCTCTGCTGCCCCCTTCTCTTTTGACTTTCTTTTCCAGCATCAGGGTTTTTGCCAGCGAGTCAGCTTTTTGCATCAGGCAGCCAAAATACTGAAGTTTCAGCTTCGGTCCTTCCAGCATCAGTGAATATTCAGCATCAGGAAATCAGTCTAATTACGCCATGAAGTCACATCCCCATCCTAGAAATGAAGAGAAAAGAGTAGTATTGGGGTGAGGGGAGGTAAGGAAAATAAGGTATAAAAGAGCAAAACTGTAATACTAACAGTATTGGAAACTAAGGAAACTAATAAATCAATGTGTGTACTTGGACAGGTTTATCTGCCTACCTCCTCCAAAGTGGATTTTTTGTTTGTTTCAATGTTTAACAAATGGAGATACAATTTTAAAACCCCCAAATGTTACCATTTTAAAGTAAATCCATGGCTTTAGTAGAATCCAAATGTGCTACAATCACAATGAAAAAGTGTTTTACTCTCTATAAATAAAACCCACACCCTAGTCTACCCACTCCCCCTGATTTTCAAGCTGTCAGTCAAGTAAAGTCGCTCAGTTGTGCCCGACTCCTTGCGACCCCATGGACTGTAGCCTACCAGGCTCCTCCGTCCATGGGATTTTTCCAGGCAAGAGTACTGGAGTGGGGTGCCATTGCCTTCTCCAGGGGATCTTCCTGACCCAGGGATCGAACCCGGGTCTCCAGCATTGCAGACAGACGCTTTACCATCTGAGCCACCAGGCAAGCTGTAGGTGACCACTAATCTGCTTTCCTTCTGATTTTTTAAAAATATTTATTTATTTATTTGGCTGCCAGGTTGTGGCATGTGGGATCTAGTTCCCTGACCAGGGATTGAACCCAGGCCCCCTGCATCTTGAGCTCAGAGTCTTGTCTAGGGTTGTCTTAGACAAGGACAGGGAAGTCCCTAATCTGCTTTCTGCCTTTGCTAGACGTTGCATGTATATGGAGTTATAGAATAGGTGGCCTTTTCTGACTGGCTTCTTTTACTGAGTGTAATGTTTAAGAGGGCAGCAGAGGATGAGGTGATTGGATGGCATCACTGACACCACAGACATGAGTTTGAGCAAACCCGGGGAGACAGTGAAGGGCGGGGAAGCCTGGCCTGCTGCACTCTGTAGGGGGCATGACTTAGTGACTAAACAGTAACAGTGTTTTCAAGGTTCATCTGCACTGTAGCATGTCATCAGTATTTCATTCCTTTTAACTGCTGCATCATCCTTCACTGTACAGACCTGTTACATTTTGTTTACCCATTCCTCTGTTGATGGGCATTCAGTTGTTTCCTCCTTCTGGCTCCTGTGAATAGGAACATTCCTGTGTGAATCGTGCTGTTTGCAATGAGCTGGTCCCATCAGTCCTAAGAGGTGTTGGGAGGTGGCAGGTAGATTTTGCTCTGCCCAGCTCTTCCACCTGTGTTGGACGTGCCTGGACAGTAGGCCGGGGCTGGAAGTGCTCACCCCTCTCCATCATCCTCAGCCTTCGTGGGTCTGCTCTTTGAGGACTGTTTGCCTCTGACTGAGTTCCAGCGATCCCCACTGGGAAACTGAAGGACAGTATGTTCCCTGGGCAGTTAGTGCGGGTTCAAACACTCCTTGGTTGACCTGCAGAGATGAGAATATGGGTTTCCTGTCAGTACTTGTTGCAAGGGAACAAGGAGTGCCAATTTATGGGAAGACAACTCTTCGATCTTGATATAAAGTCTCTAAGAAACAGCACCATTGTCCAGCTTTACCTAGTAGGCTCAGGGTGTGGGCTCCCTCCTGTGTTATCTGCCAACCGGTACCTTGTGAGGCACATCCTGTTTAGTAAGTAAATGCTTCAAGGTTTTAAAAATTAACAAGCAAAACAAAAACCAAGCATTAGATGTTTTATACACACACACACACACACATAAATACACTTCTCTGGTAGCTCAGCAGTAAAGAATCTGCCTGCAATGCAGGAGACATGGGTTCAATCCCTGAGTCAGGAAGATTCCCCCCAAGAAGGAAATGGCAACCCACTCCAGTATTCTTGCCTGAGACATCCCAAGGACAGGGGAGCCTGGAAGGCTATCCATGAGGTCACAAAGAGTCAGACATGACTTAGAGACACTAAACAACAACAAATGTATACATGTTTTTTATGTATATAAGTATATGTGTATATATACACACACACATATATACATATACATACAATGGAACATTAACTCAGCCATACAAAAGTGAAATTTGTAGCAACTAGGATGGACCACAGTATATTATACTTAGTGAAGTAAGTCAGAAAAAGATACTATGTGATATCCATTATATGTAGACTCTAAAAAGAGAATACAAATGAACCTACATACAAAACACAAACAGATTCACAGACATAGAAAACAAATTTATGGTTACTGAAGGAGAGAGGGAGGGACAAATTAGGAGTATGGGATCAACAGATACAAACTACTATACATTAAATAGATCAGCAACAAGGATTTACTGTATCTTCTACATAGTATATGGAATTACTGAATATCTTATAATTACTATACCTTGGTGAATACCCAATATCATGTAACAACTTATAATGGAACATAATCCACAAAACACTGTGCTGTACATCTGAAACTAACATAATATTGTGAATCAACTATACTTCAATTTTTAAAAAATTTTGTTGAAACTACAGGATGTAAAATATGGGTTTTCTTGTGCAAGAAACACTGACAGAATACCAAACCAGAGACTCAGATTTAAGAAAGCTGATGAAGGGACAAAGTAGAATAAAATATTTGAAGCAAGTGATAGCATTGCTTTCTGAGTTACCATAGTAACTCATTTTTAAAAATAACCAAATTTGGCTTAGAAACAATAGTAAGGAGACAGTTAAAAAGACAGAATTATAAAATTTTGGGCAGGGGAAAAGTTGTGATTATTTGCACACACACATAAAGAGCTCTAATTTAAAAAAATTAACAAGGAATTATTTCTCTCCAATTCTAAGACAGGATTAATACCTGGGAAAAATATATATCCCAGGTGCCACAGTGGTTAAGAATCCGCCTGCCAACATGGAGACAAGAGACATGGGTTTGATCTTTGGGTTGGGAAGATCCCCTGGAGGAGGAAATGGCAACCCACTACAGTGTTCTTGCCTGGAAAATTCCATGGGCAGAAGAACCTGGCAGGCTACAGGCCATGGGGCTGCAAAGAGTCAGACACGACTGAGCACATGCACAAAGATATATATGTAATCTCCCTGCTGCCTATGCAAATGCCAGCACCTTGATCATGGTATCAA